CCCAGTGCGGGAATGCTTCTGCCCCAGGGTGGGGCTGGGGCTCATGGGGAATGCAACATGAGGAGGGAGCTGCAGGGGGTGTCCTGACCCCCTCAACACCTTGGCTGGGCAAGTACATTGTGTATGGGGAGAGGCTTGGGGACCCCAGTCATCTGGGAGTGGGGTGGGGACGGCTTGGAGAACCCAGGTATCCAGGGGGACTCCAGGTAACCTGAACATACAAGGCCGGGAGCCCATGGGGGTAGGGCATCCCAACAGCCAAGGTGGGGTGGGCTCCAGGGAACCTGGGCATCTGGGGAGAGGGGCAGGGCTGCTCAGGGAACCCAGGCATCCAGCTGGGGGCAGAGGCAGAGAACCTAGGCATCCAGGGCTGGGGGCCTCTGGGGGTGGAGGGAGTTTGGGGAGCCCAGGTGTTTGGGGGCTGGTGGCCGTGGCTGGGGCAGCCGCGCCTCGGCTGGGCCTGGAGCCAGGAGCAGCAGGCCCAACCTGTTTCCCCGCCCCAGGATTCCCACCTACTTCCGCCATCTCATCGAAGAAGTTGGAGGGGCGGGGGCAAGCAGGCAGGGGCAGGGGTAGGGGTCATCTCCAGAGGAAGGGGAGACACGGGATGGCGAGATGCAGACTCACGCCAGGGGCTGACCCCCAGTGCATTGTGGGAAGAGCCTTGCTGGGGCCTCCCTGGGACTGGCTCTGAAGGAATTAATGGGAGATGGCTCAGGGTGCACTGGGGTGGAGGGGGTGTCCCTCCCCGGCTCCAAGCCTCAACCCCCATGGCTGGTGTGGTGCTGGGGCTCACCCCAGCTGCCGCACAGGGCTGCTGGGACTGAGGTGTCTGGGGTCAGGCTCCCAAGTACCAGCATGGGCGGCTGCCCGTCTGTCTCTGCCTGTCTGTCCGCACCCTCCCCTACCTGGGAACCCCGCTGCGGCGTGGGGGCCGCCCCGCCCTGACGCGTCTGCACAGGCTTCGGGAGAGGGGGGCCCTTCCCAGCCCTGCGGCCACCCCGAAACCCTGCTGTGGGGGGGTAGGGAGGGAGTCAGGGCTCCTGAGCTCCTCCCAAGGCCCTGAGCTGGGGGCCTGGGGGCAGGGCAGGGCTCCCCCTTGACCCTTGCTGGGGCTGGGCCTCAGCCTCGGCCTCGACTTGCTTGGGATCCTGGCTCCTTTGGGAGGGGATTCCTTCGCAGCACCCCCCACCCAGATCTGCTTGTCACCCTGGGACATGGGGGCTCCTGGGTGTGGGGGGGCAGGGCAGCAGTAGCATAGCAAGGGGTGGGGTGAGCGGGACAACCGCCTCAGTCGCCAAAGCAAAGGGGTGCCAACAGGTGCTGCCCAGATGCAGGGAGTGTGGCTCCCACTTCTGCATACACTGCTGGGCAAGCATGGGGGGCATGTGCCCCCTGGATATGTGCTGGGGGCAGGGTGGGCTGCCACTGCGGGTTTTGCCCCGGATGCCAAACTGCTACAGCACTGTGGGGTGGTATAATCTGGGGCTGCTGCAGGAGCCTGGTAGGTGTGTGGGGGGGCATCAGAGACCTCTTGGGCCTGGGTGGGGGTGGAGATCAGGGTTTCTCAGGGGCAGGGGAGGCTGCCAGGGCAGTAAAGGAGTGGGGTGGGGTCCTATGGGTGGCGGGGGGTCCCAGAGAGCTGAGAGGATATGGAGGAAGGGCCTGTGGGGGACAGGGGGCTAGGGCAGAGGGCTGTGCAGTGTGGGGGGGGGACACCCCAGGGGGGCTGGGGCCCGGGGGCCTCTGTCACAGCCCAGTCTGACCCCTCCCTCCCCTCCCTCCCCCCTAGGGAAGGTGCCCCCGGAGCTGCAGGAGCCGGTGTACACGGACCAGTATGCGCAGGAACACGTGAAGCCACTGGTGACGCGCCTGCTACTGTCGGCCGAGCTGCTGTGCCGTGCCTGGCGCCAGGGCCTGCCCGGGACCGAGGCGGGGGGGGCCCCCCGTGACCACGTTGCCCTCCTGGCCCTGCTGGCCCAGCGTGGCCTGGCTCCTGCGCTGCACGGCCGCCCCGTCACCACTGCTGACCTGCACCACGCGCCCCTCAACATGGTGCGGATGGCAGGGCCCAAACACCAGAGCTCTATAGGGTGTGGTGTGTGAGAGCACACGTGTGTCGGGTGTGTGTGCATGAGTTCATGTGACTGTCCTGGACACCTGTGTTTTCTGTACGTGCATGTCCCGGACACCTGGGGGGGATGAGGGAATTTGGCCTGGACACCTGGGTTCTGTGGGGAGTGGTCTCTGGGTTCTGTGTGTGCATGTACAGGTGTCCCAGACACCTGGGTTCTCTGTATGTGTGTGTGTCCTGGATGTCTGAGTTGTTTATATGTGCGTGTGCCCCAAATACCTGGGTTCTGTGGGGTGTGTCCGTGTGTATCCTGGATGCCTGACTTCTGTTTGTGGGTGTCCCAGATGCCTGGGTTTTTGGGTGGGGTGTGTATGTGCATGCATGCCAATGTCTCAGACACCTGGGTTGTCTGTATGTGCAGGTGTCTCAGACACCTGGGAGCAGGGGGGTGCAGGGGGTGTCCTGGGTACCTCTGTTCTGTGGAGAATGGTTTGTGTGTGTGTCCCAAATGCATGGGTTCTGTGTGTGCATGTACCAGTGTCCGAGACACCAGGGTCTCTGTATGTGCGGGTGCCCCAAACACCTGGGTTGTCCGTACACATGCATCCCAGATACCTGAGTTCTGTGGGGCAGGCATAGTGTGTCTGTGTGTCCTGGATACCTGGCTTCTGTGTGTAGGTGTCCCGGATGTATGTGTTCTGGGGTGGGGTGGGGTGTGTATGTGTGCGCGCGCCAATGTCCTGGATGCCTGGGTTGTCTGTGTGTGTGGATGTCCCAGACACCTGGGCTCTCTGTGTGTGCCTGGCAAGCCTTAGCTGGGGCAGGTTGCTGGCTGTGCAGCAGGAGCATGCGGCCTGCCAGGGCATGGGCCCCTCTGACTGGGTTTCAGGGTGCTGAAAGGGCCAGATTGTGACCTCAGGGGTGGGGCAGGGCGTTGCTGTAATTCTTGCCCCAGATGTTGGATCCTGGCTGACTCCCAGCCCCCCCACAGCTGGATCCTGGGGTGCATCAGGCCCCTCTCTCCCTGGTGTGTGGGGGGAGGGGCTTACACCCAGGGAAGGCCAGGGGGAGCAGGCATCTTCTAACAATGCTGCCTACAGGGGCACTGGGACTAGAGAAGGGGTGGGTGCATGACCTGGACATGTACATGCATGCGGAACCTAGGCATCCATGACACTTGGGTATTGAGAGCACATGTGCATGTGTGCACATGTCTTGGACACCCAGGTTCTGTGCCCGTCTGCATGTCCCAGGCATCTAGGTTCTGTGAGCGTGTGCGCCTGTTCTGTGTATGTGCCTGTCCCAGACACCTGGGTTCTGTGTTTGTGCTGGACACCTGAGCTCTGTGAGCATGCATGCATATGTGCGCGTGTCTTGGCCATCTGGGTTGTGCACGTGTATGCATGTTTTGGATGCCTGGGTTCTATGAGCATGTGTGCAAATCTCCCAGATGCCTGGGTTCTGTGAGCATACGTGTATAAGTCTCTGGGACACCTGGGTTCTGTATGCATATGTGCATGCTATGGATGCCTGGGGTCTGTGAGCATGTGTATGCACATGTCCCAGACACCAGGGTTCTGTGTGCACTTGTGCGCCTAGCTTCGACACCTAGGTTCTGTGAATTTGCATGTTCTGGATGCCTGAGTTCTGTGAGTGTGCATGTGTGTATGTGCATGTCTTGGATATGTGTAGAACCCAGGTGTGTGTACATGTAAAGGTGTGTGCATGTCCCAGACACCTGGGTTCTGTGAGCGTGCATGCATATGCATGTTAGCATGTGTGTCCCAGATGCCTAAGTTCTGTGTGTATGCATGTTCCAGACACCTGAGTTCTTTCTGAGTTCATGTGTGGGGTGTGTGTGTGTGTGTGTGTCTTGGACATGTGGGTTCTGCCTGTATGTACACATGTGTTTTGGATGCTTGAGTTCTGCAAGCATGCATGCGTGTGCATGTGTTCCAGACACCTGGCTTCTGTTAGCATGCAGGTGTCCCTGACGCCTGGGTTCTGTCCCTGCCCAGGGAGGGCCCTCTGGCCTGTTTACACCTCTGGGGGTAGGGGGCTGCTGCTGACTCTGCAGAGCAGCTGGGTGGAGGAGGGGTGAGAGGGGGTGTCTGCCCAGGGTTCCCTTATTGTGGGGTCTAGGGCTGCCTCAGGAACCCTGCTGCCACCTGTTCCTCTCTGCATGTGGCACAGAGGGCAACAATGGTCTTGCCCTCCCCCAAGCATGGCTGGGGGCCACACTGTGTGTGGGGGAAGTAGGGTGTCTCTGTGCCAGCACAGTCCAGTCTGCTGGGTCTGGGCTTAGCTGACGCCCCCTCCCCCACCCCCTTACTGGGTTTAATAGTTGCTGAAGGGTTGTTAAGTATTAACCAGACTGGGGGGGCAGTACCAGGCAGAGCCCGCTAAGCGGGTTACCACCTGCTAGGGCTGGGGGAGGGGCAGGCCAGGGCCTGATCCTAGGGGCAGGGGTCCCGGATTGGGGGGGGGGGGGCACCACACTGAGAAGGAGGGGGGCCAAGTAGCTTTGGATGCTCCCCCATGGGTCCCCAGTCATAGGGAGGCTATTCTATCCCCCTGCAAAGCCTCACTGCACTGTGGGGAGGGGGGGCACAATAGACCATGGCAGAACCCAGGAATCCTGGCTCCCACAACCCCTCTGAAAGCTGTTGCCAGTGGCCCGCTCCCTCTCCAGCCCTGCCCCCCCCCCCCC